CACTACCCAAAGACTTTTGAGACGGAAAATGAAGCCTATTACTCAAAAACAAAGTTTGGACTGCTGCTGGGTTTTTAAATTTTTCTAAATCTACAAGTATTAAACTTTGCCCCTCTTCTTCCTTATTTAATTGGTAAAAATTAAAATTCATGAGCTCTTAACTCCAAAACCTACTACAAATCAATGAGAGCAGCTTCCATGTGACTCGTGCAAACCAAATGCTTTGGTGCACTCACTGGCCTCCTAGAGCCTGTAGTCTGGGCCTCACCTCAGATCAAGACATTTTCTTCCAAGCAGCCAACATCCCCACTGACTGTCTTCTAGTAATAAGGAAGGAAACTCTTCCTTCTAATTCTGGTCTTAGTTCTCTAAGTACAGTCCTCTTCACTGCCCCCACGAAAAACAGGTAGAAGGAAAGGCTAATATACCTGTGGGGTGTGTGTGTGTGTGTGTGTGTGTGTGTATGGGGTGGGGAGGGCGCTGTACTCTGAAAGAGATAGTATTTAAATAACAGTGGTTTTGAAAAATATGGGAAATAAAAAATCACCCTACAGCAGTCCTCAGAGCAAAGTATCTCAACAGTATTCACTTAGTTGGTAAACACTCTGACCTCACAAACTATCAAACTCAAGCCATCATGAGCCCTTTTATTACCAAGAGCCAAAAGGGTGGCCATACTTCTTCACCTTGCCCCACCCCTTACAGAAGCATAATGTACTAACCCACACAGAAAAAAAATATGGTCCTCATCCCCTTAGTTCAAAATATGATTTTCACTGTTCAATCAAAACATAACTTCTAGAAAACCTCACTTCCTTAGTTTTTCAAAGTTCTGATGCCCCAAAGAGCTCTCCTATCCAGATTTCTTCCTTGGGGATTCAAAACCTCAAATTGTTTCTCTAGATTCTAGGTGATCTCCCTGGAAGTGAGTAACCCAGCCAAGCAAACAGTCAGGTTAGGATTTTGCAAGGGGCAGCAGGAAGACTTGCCAATGAATGAAAACAGGAAAAGGGAACTTCAAGCCCCCAGGGACCAGAGAGCACTTTTTAGACAGAGAGTGAGAGAAAACTTTGGATACCTGGCTCCATTCTCAGTTTTTCAAATGAACTTGGTCAAGAAGAATTATAATTATTAAATCAAAATTTACTTAATAACATTCTAAACTATGCTGAGAAGAAATTCTATGTACATCTTGTGTGATTCATAGCATATAACTCATCACATTATTTAGTCTTTCAGAAAACTATATTTTTCTATAGGCTTATTTTCTATGGAGGGGACTCTTCATTCATTTATTCCATGTACTTTCATTGAGAGCTCACAATGGGTCAGCTGCCTTAAAAACCTAAGGCACTGAGCCACAGGTTGAATATGTGCACTGAATAGTTGGTCACTCGATGTGCATTTCAGTCCATGATTTATCTAACTCATTTTGGAAATGCAGTTAAAAGCATGATCCCTGGCCCCAACACCAGTATGGGAGTAATGCAAAAATTATTGCAAGTTGGCAAACAGCAATGTAACTTGTATTTAAATCATGCCATCAAAACCAGGTAAGTTAAGTCCTAACACTTCTGTACCATGTAGTATGTTTCCGCATGAAAACTTTAAGTTTTCAAAGGAGTTTTCATTAACAGATACAACCAGTAGGGGTCATTTTAGTGCAAAAATTGCAGCATGAGAGACTTTAACATGAATAAAATGTCAATTCTTAATGTTAGTTATGATAATCCACATACATGAATTTCTGAATAAAAATGGAAACTGAGGGAAACACTGGCCATTGAGAAATTTCTTGCTGAGTAACAAAAACAAATCAGAAAAAACGTCTGTACATTCAAGAAATCAGTGACATGTAAAGACCTCTCCAATTCCTAGAAGAAAAGGGTACTCTTGTATTTTATGCTTTCTATAAATACTGTAGCAATATGCAAATCTTTGGAATGTTAAACATACATTTGAAAATGTCTGTCTACATCCAATGATTAGATCAGGCCAGGAAACAATGTCCTTACCTTGTTTTCATGGATTTAGAATGCAACTTGATTGCTGCTTTTAGAATTATTTAAAAAAAAAAAAAAAAAGTGCCTGAGCACACAGCTGTAGTGACTGAAAACAGGCCTGTTAAATGAAAAGTGCTTCCAAAGAACACTGAGATACAACCATGTCAAGAGATACTTCTAAGCATTTTCAAGGCTAAAACCAAGTGCACTGGTGTTACCAGAAAAAAAGGAAGCCATGAAGAATCGCATCATTTCAGAAGAATGAAAGGCTTACCAATACACTGCCAAAATAACTCCATGCTGCGACATGGGATGTTGCTGCCAAAACACTTGGTTACTGTAAATGTTTTCTGAGCATTTCCTTCACCAGAAATATATAAAGAATGAATAAACAAAGGTTAGAATATTTGGAGCCTCCAAAGTCCTCAGAGCACAGCAGTTTCCACTGCATTGAAGCTTGTTTCATATTGCTTGTTTGCAGGTTTATGGGGAGGCTGGATCAATTTATGTACTTCAAGTGGCAGGGTTCAAAGATGCATCTTTTAGTCTAAGTCATTCAGAATTCCCAAAGTCAAAGGCATAAAATTGTATGAGTTAATCTAACAGACATTTTTCCTGAACTGAGAAACAAAACCATGTTATAAAATGGAACTTCATGCCAGGTGAGAGGCTTGTGTTTCAGGCAAATGAGGTCTTCTAACCAAGGTCCTAAGGGCACAGTAAGAACACCACCCTTCCCTCTGAGAAGAGTTCCCTTCATTCATTACTGCCCACCAGCTTTCAAGCCCTGATTTTCCAGAATTATCCAAACCCTAAAAACTACAGGTTAAAAAAAATACGTGTGTATTTAAAAAAATAATCAACAGCATTGAAGCCTTTCAGTAGATTCATTTTTACCCTTAAGGTTGCCACTCCTTTTCAGTATCCTAGCACAATAAATACACACATAAGGATGCTTGAGAATAAACCCTCCTGGTCTCTTGGGTGCTGGCTGTGAGTAGTAGGGCAGAGGGCGTCTGTCCCTCCTTACTGCTCCCCCACAAATGAGGCTGCTGCACTCTGTTCACTCACCAGAATCCCTTGAACAGCATCACTGCCCAACGTCAGCCAGAGCAGGGATCCCACTTTTAACCAGCACTCCCGGAGCCCTGCCCATTTGCCAAATAAAATGAACTTACTGTTTCTCTAGACCCCAAACCTGGCCAGCACCCCGAGGTAGAGGCAGGCGGACAAGGACTAAAGCTGACACAGTGGTTCCCCAACGAGGGAGATTCCACTAATCTAATCTCTGTCTCCCTCCATCAGTCTCGACACCGCGCTGCACAATGCTCGGTGGAGAAGCCTACAACACAATCCCCGCTGTCAAACAAACAAAACGAAGGCACCGGCAACACCACACGCGGATATCGGATCTTAAAAAGCAACCTCTAATAGTCCGCAACAACTTTTCACTCCGAGGTGCAACCCCCACCTTCCACCCCGTTCTGTCCAGGAGAGAAAGCCTTTGACCATTTTCAATAGGCAAATAAATGAGTAACCACCGTAGGCAACTTCTCTTGGGCTGACATATTTCCGAGCTGAAACTGATTTATATGCGAAGGAGGAGGAAGGAGGTGAAGGAAGAACACAAGGAAAAAATAATAAGAGTCACACAGGGAGTGTGTGTGCTGAAAACGCGACTCCTCCGCCAACGGAAAAGGGCTACACGGACAGTGTGCAGCACTCGGTACCACACTGCGCTATACGGGGAGGGCAGCAGGGGCGGACTCCCGAAGGGGCTTGCGCGCGGCAACCTCCGCAGTGCCCCCAGCCCGCGGCACCTCCACCTCGGGGCGAGGGCGGGTCACCCAGCTCAAGCCCACCCGCCACACTTGTGGGTCTGTGCTGGGCGGGGATGCAATCCTGCCCTCGTCCGCTCCCCACCCACGAAATCCAACCTCACCCGCAGCTGGCTAAGCGCCGGGAGGGGAAGGGAGCGGGAACCCGGGGCACCGGGCATCCTCCCGGGGGCGGCGGCTGCCCGTCCTCCCGCGGAGCCCTCTCTCCTCGGGAAAGTCTCAGCCAAACTTTGTTCGGCTCAGCCAGCGCCAAGGGGGCGGCGCGGGCCAGGTGGGAGGGGGCCCGCAGCGGGCGGCCATACCTTCGCAGACGCCCACTTCGTACTCGGTGATGGAGTCGCCATTGAGCGGGGGGCGGATGACACAGCGAAGCCCCCGGTCGCAGGCTCCGTGGAGCCCGAAGGCGCCGCCGCAGCTCTCGTTCCTCTGCCGGGCGCACATGTAGCAGCAGCCGCAGATGCCCTGCACAATGCTCCCCGGGCAGCTCCTGGGCTCCTCGCACTTAGACTCGTCGCAGGGCAGGCAGACCAGCGCCCGGGTGCCGGAGCGCGCCAGCAGCAGCAGCAGCCCCAGCAGCGAGACCAGGAGGTGCCCGCAGCCGGCCAGCCCCCTGCCCCCCGCCACCAAGTACATCCTCCTGCGCCGCCGCCTCCTCCTCGCAGCCGGGCCGGGAGCCGGGCGGGCGCCCTCCCCTGCGCGGGGCACACGCGCCGCCGCACCCGCAGCCCGCGGTCCTCGCCGCCCCCCTCGGGGCCCCCGGGGCGCGCCTCCCCTCGCGGGGCAAGGCCCCCGCCCCTCCTGCGGGCCGCGCCGACCCCGAGCCCACTAGCGTTGGCGCCAGCGGCAGCGGTGGCTTCCCCTCCTCCTCCTCCCGGGAGGGAGGGGGGAAAAAAGAAAAAAAAAGTTTCCTCCCGGCAGCTCCGGTTCAACCCAAACTTCTGGCGGCGGCGGTGGCTGCGCTCGGCTCCAGCCCGGGCTGGCGGCGCCTCCTCCTTCTCCTCTTCCTAGTCGGCCGGCCCGCGGCGGCGGCGCAGCCTCCGGGCCGGTCCCCGCCTCCCGAGCCGCCGAGTGGGCGCGGTGGCGCAGCAGAAGGTCCGCGGCGTCCGCTCTGCGCGCCCGGCTCGCCTCACTCCTGCGCGGCTCCTCCGGGCGCTTGTTTATGGCTCGAGCCTCCGCCGCTCGGGCTGCGCCCTCCCCCATCCTACCTCATCCCCCAGACCTCGCCCCCCCGCGCCGCGCGCCGCTCATTGGCTGCCCCCCCACCCCTCTCGGCCCGGCCGGCCCCCTCCCCCTCCTCCTCCTCCCACCCGGGCGGCCGGGCCCTTCCTCCCTCGCACGCCTCCTCCTCCTCTTTTCCCCCCTTCTCCTCTTCCTCCCGGAGCCGGGCGCACCGAGCCTGCCCTGCGGCCGCGCTACTGCTCTGACCCTGGCACCACGAATGCGCTGCGTCTCGGCTTGCCTTGGTTGGGGCGCACCCAGAGAGCTGGGAGAATCGCCGCGTCCCGAGCGCCCGCCAGCACAGTGGCCACCGCGGCTAGCCTAGGAGCACCCGGGGCCAGAAGGCTACACCAGTGCCAGGCAGTTTTGAGTTCGGAGACCCCAGAATCTCCTGGCCAGGGCGATTGCTGTAATCTCCGCTGGGCACCCGCTGAAGCGAACCCCAGGAAAGGGAAGCAAATGCATGGAAGCTCCGCAAACTGGACAAGAATCCATCTTCCACTCGACCTGGGAATAGACTTTGTAAAAGATTATGTAATGGAGTCTCGGGAAGCTCGAGACGTCTCCAGCGAAGCTGCTGGTGAATTAATTAAGTGCTTTAAATGGTCTAGGTAAATATTTCGCCAGGGTTGGGAGGACTGCTGGGGATGATTGTGGTTTGAGTTGAATTTTAACTGTCCACTTCATGTTTTGTCGCTCTGCTGTCTGTGCCAAGGTGCTGTATTATGGGCGGGGGTGACTGGAAAGTAACAGCTGAACCCTTGTCCCTGGAGTAAGACGGAATACTGGATTGTTACAAGTCTTGACCTGGGGCGAGACCCGTAGTCGCATGCATCATCAATGTCATCTGACATATGACATTGCCTTTTTTGTTTCCCAAGCTTACAGACAAAAGTGATGGGTTCTTTTTCTTTTCTTAAAAAAAAATGTACTGTGTGTGTATTAATAAAGAAGATGTGTGGTAGAATGGTCTTTGTGATGAACCAGGTGAAGAAGCTACCGAAATTATGCAAAGTGGATGGTGTGGAGATTGTTTCTCTTCTGCGGCTGGCGGAAAAGGTTCTTGCAGTGATGTATCTATAATTGATGAGATGAGAACCAATGATCGTCCTGGAAGTTACCCACCATTCACAGGAGTATGTGTACTAGGGTAAATAAAATTAATGAACTGATAGAAAGTAACTTGGATCAGTATGGGGATGGGGGGTCTGATCTTGTGGCAAGTATGAAGTGGGCGTGGATGGTGACCCTCTAATTCAAGATGGTCTGGCAGCAGAAACCTAGCGGACAAGTGGTTTCTGAAAATCCTGACTAATGATCCAAAAGTTAATAGAAGCAGTGTAAAGAGAAAGGAAACAAAGATACCTTTGAAATCTTCTGTTTGTGGAACAAATTTATACTTATGATTAATACTTTGGTTTAACCACATTAATCCTCAACCAAAAAAACAAAGTTACCAGTGGAATATTCCCCCATTTCTGCCATCAGAAAACTATAAGCATGTCTTCAATCACATTCCTTTATTCTGAAGAGAGGAAAGGACTCACTAATCTCTATAGTCTCTTATCACTGATTATTAGGGAGTCACAGGGAATTTGTTCAACATTTAAAAGGGGGAGGAAGTACCCCCATCTTCCAAGAGAGTTTAAAGGGCTGTGGAGGAGAATTAGTTTCCAGGGATATTGTAGAGACAATTCCTGCAATGGTGTATGGTTCAGGTTAGATGATCTTCAAAGACCCTCATACCCTAGGGTCCCATAATAGGTATTAAGTGGTAAAATCATTTAAAACATGCCAGGTTTTCTACTAGCAACACCAAAAAATAAAACACACAACTCCGTTAAATATTAAGTTGTTTCTTGTAACCCAACAAGGCACCCGCACTTTTCTATGGGATTTGCCAACAAACTGTCATCATTGTACTGTGTTAAAAGGCTGCTTTCACTCTTGGAGAGGAGGTTATCTGTATTTCTGTCTAAATGCAAGTATAAAGACATTATTAAAATGTAGCAAAAAACATGTAGGACTCAACAGGAGAAGCCAAGGTCAGATGATGGAAAAAAAGGCAAATGTGAGAGAGCCACTATCATTTTAAAAAGGGTGGTAATGATTATTGCCAAAATTTTGCTTTTTTTGTTTGTGATTTTCCTCTTTTAAAATCAATGTATTAAGGATTGAGACAGCTACAGATTGAGCACAGGCAAGGGACAACATGGAGGTCGATATCTATCCTTAATGGGCCTTCAGAGACAGAACCACCTATAAGGTAGATAGACACAATATGAGAAAGGCTGACTTCTCAAAGGAATTCTAGTCAAGCTTAGCAAGGACTAAAGAGATTCTTAAGACTAAGATGGATGTATCAGCGCAAAAGAATCAAGTTACACATGGTTCTTCTTTGCCATAGAATTCATAGTTATAGAAGCAATGGAGAAAAGATTTCTTGAAGTTTCTCAGTGGCAAATGAGAAATCTGCAAGGGCCTGGCAGCTTATTTGAAACAGTATGTGAATGAGGAGCTCAGTTAAGCTCTTTTCTTCTCTGGGATTCTGCAGAGACCAGAAGCTAAGGCTCAAACACAAAATGTTTCCCTCATCTTCAGAAGCCAGATTAGGGGTACAGAAAGAAGTTGGGTGAGCCCAATATAAAGGCAATAGGATGTCATATGAGAAAGTGGACTGGGAAGGATTACTTGGACCTTGAATGGCATGTACATCTAACAATTAGAGTCATGCATAGAAAATGGCTAAATGCCTCTTTCTTTAGGAAGCCTCCTGGAGTTCATTCTCTTCTCTGTTTGACAATATTTTGTAAGTACCTCTGCTTATAGCATTTATGATTTTATTTTATCAGTAGTTCTTTAAGTAACCCTGAACCCAGTTAGACTGTCAGCTCATTGGAGGGGGTGGAATTTAGGAATGCAAGATGCATGAATGAATTAGTTGAAAGGGAAGAGAGGGAAGAATTAAATACAAAAAGATGTTTGGATATTTTTGTGTGGCCCTTCTCTTGGTTTTAGTAAATACCCCTAAAATTAAGCACTTAAAAGGGATGCTTGGGGCAGGAGGGAGTCTTCCAAACTGGGGGAAAAAAAAAACAGTCTCAAAGGAAAAGGAATTAGAATGTATTTCTGATGGAGGTCTGGAAGAAGAGAGTGTCTGCCCCCTATTGGCCACTGGGCATGTTGGACGGAGAGGATTAATATACTTGAAAACGCCTGGAAATCAAAGTGTCTAATAGAAACGAGAAAGCACTAGACAGAATGCTGGTATTAGAGCCTTCCTCCCAGATACAACGTCTATTCTAACCTTTTGAGTGGACTCACACTTTTTGGGATGTGCATACTATTTATATTTTCCTGAAATGAAAAATGTAGAAGTTGTTTTTTGAGTTGGATACAAGTATTATTATAGTGGAGTTGCACAAGAGAAAAAGTTTCATCATTTTATAAAAATGTGTCATACATTTTAGAAGAAATCAGGACAATAGGTCTGGCTCCTTCTGCCTCTTCCTGCCATATCTCTCTGGTCCCCATAGCTGGGATCACTTACATAGACTCTCACCTAATCTAGGCCTTGGCCATTTCATGACATAAGTGAAACCCTAAATCTATGGGCTCAGCTGTCTGATTTTGGTATCTGTATCTGGTACTTGGGCTGTACTATCACCACCTAGTACTTCATATTTACTAAAGGGGTCTTGTCTTATCTACTCTACCAGTGAATGGTAACTGTTCCAGAGATACTAGAAGAGTAACAAGGCCTGGACATAGAACACAGAATTCTCTGCAAGGTTTAGCCTAGGGGACGAACACACACACACACACACACACACACACACTCCTCCCTTACTCCAAACGAGTTATTTATGCATTCTGCATTCATTTTCTCCTCTATAAAGTGGACACAAGAATAGCAAAATTACAGGGTATTGTATAAATCAAAGATTGTTCTCCTATTTTGTTATTTGTTAGAGTTCTTCTAATTGTCTTCTAGTTTTTATGCTTGGGTGGGAATCTCTGATATGGGATATCTTAGCATCCATTCCTCTGAAACATCTGCCTGCCCAGAAACTTGCTGTTTTTCCTTCTTAGGATCTTCTGTTGGTCCTGCTTTGGCAGTCTGTCTAATAGAGGGGTTTTAGCTTTTGTGATATTTCCTTGATCTCATTTGAAAGAACAATAATTTATGATGATAATAATAAGTGATAGCTAACATTTAGAAAAAGCATCTTAATTGCTAGTCAATTCGTTAAGCACTTCATATGGGTTATTTTAATTAATCTACAGAATACTCCTTTAAGTCCAAAGCCTTATATTATCTCCAGTGTCTTATGTTATCTTCATTTTACAGTTGAAGAATCAGAGGCACAGAAGGTTGTACGTATGGATATCAAGTTTGGAACTCAGTCCTGTTCAGCACCACATAAAAATAAATAAATAAAATAAAGATATTGTGTCCATTTACAACTAAAAAAAAAATATTTAAAAAAAAAAAAGCTATGGTGCATTTCCATCAAATTTTCACATACTTGTTCAATTATTTTCTTTGATAAATTCTTAAAATGAAATTATTGGTGGGTCAAAAGTTATGTACATTTTGGCATGCATTGCCAGACTGCCCTCCACAAACACACATTCCCTCAAACACTTAGGGATAGTTCTCATCTTCCAAGCTTGACGGCCCTTCATGTTAAAAACCTTTTTCAGTTGCTTTAAAAGCATCTTACATTGTAGAGCCTTTTACCTTTTTTTGTCAACTTTTAAAAAATCATTTTCACATTGATTATTCCATTAGATCCTTAAAAATGTTCAGCATTAGGAGGTTTTAGTTATGGATCATCGAATGTTTCAACCTTACAAATTATCAAATCATGTAACCTGGCAAATTGTATGCTCTATGGTTTTTTAAGGGAAAGTGTTAGGTATTTAATTAAAATTTTCTCCTAAGAAGGAATGCTTTTATAAAACTGAACTTATAAAATTGGGTGAATTATTAAGATCCTCCCCTAAAGGTGAGGCTATTTGAGGTTAAATGGACTGAAAGCCATTTTTTTTTTTTTTTGGACAGCTAGAAAAAGCAAAAGTATGAAAATTGAGAAGAGAGAACCCACCCAGGCATTTCAATGAGGAGGAGGAAGTTCCACTTAAGTACAATTCTACCTACCTCTCTGTCTTCTCTGTTCAACTTCTTTTCTCCTTCATGTCTTCAATAACCTGAAGATTCATAGCTTTAAATTGCAACCATTCTTCCTCCCAATCTATATGGCATCTACATCAATAAATACAATCAAATTTATTTCAACCATGACATCATTGCTCCAATGTTCTTATAATGTTTGTTTGGGAATTGAATTGGGTAGTCCCTTGAAGAAACAAGCCTTATTGTTTGTCATATCTAACCCAACGTATTATAACTCAGGCAGATTATCTTCTTCATTCACTAGACATGGCTCTATTCTCTTGTCATCTTTACCAAGTTCATCCTCAAAGGAAGCTTTGCATCTGTTGGGAATATTGAAAGGAACTAAAACATGTTCAAAAGAAAATAGCAAAAGAAGAGTTAGGAAAAAAAGGTAGGCATTGATAATATTCATGGGAAAAGCATACAGCTTTTCCAACTGCTGACAAGGAGACCTGATCTGAATGTAAATTCTCGTATGATACTATTCTCGAGAATGCTGAGGCTTTGCATTCATTCCTATATATCCTGCAATTACTTTGTCATTGAGATGAGGATTCATTACCTATTTTCTGGTGGGAAATGGTAGGTTTCACCATTATCTCTGTTCCTTCTCTTCAATCTGGACACACATCTAACCAGCATTTACCAGCTTCCTTGTAGTTTTTTTCTGGAGTCATGAAATGTGCAGGGAAACAATGGGGAATCTTCTATATGCCTGATATCAAAAGCCTCTCCACCATCCTGCATTCTCTGGTATTCCCTTTCTGCTGGCT